TTTGAGTCCCGGACCTGGTAGCTTGCTTTTTCACTTTCCCTCTCTCTCTCTATCTCTCTGGTCAAATAAAATAATAATAATAAATCAAATTAAATAGAAGTTTTTGAAAATGAATAAATCTTTCTTATGTAATGTTATTACTTCACAAAACCTGAGCTGTCTTAAAATATACTACTAAATTTAGTGTCATAATTTGAACCTTGGTAAAACAGGGAACAGTAATAAAACATGCTGGATTTTATTCCTGAGGGTGTATATCAGATGAAGGGAAAAATTCACATAAAAGATAAAAAAAAGACACCTAGAATTCCCATTAAAAAGGGACTGTTTTTTGTTTTTCTCTTGCTCTCACCCTCCCTCCCTCTCTAGCATAAGCCCTCTAGTTTGTCAGAATTCTTTATCACCCAGATTCATAGACTTCTTGGGTTCCAAAAGATACTATTCCAGAAAAAGGTAAGTGTCCAGTGCAAGGCCACATAGTTGGTGGTAGAGCTAAGATTCGAATCCAGTGTCCATTCCAGTTCTGCTCAATTTCCTGGCTCCTGATTCATTTTATTCTTCTTCACTCCCACTAATTCATCACATTAAAAATATTCTAAAATGAAGTAACATAACATACAGAAGAAAGACATATGGCATATCTGAGTGGTTGTGCAGGAATGAGGACAGGATTTTTAAAGTTCCTTTGGAGAAGGTATACAAGAAATGTGACATATAGAAAAGTGGATTTATTTTAGAGAAAAGGTATACTTTGTAATTTTATTTGCTCTCATTGCAAAAATGCTTTTCAGCCCATAAATTCAAACCTCCTATGTTTGTTTTATGCAAGCATTCTGTTCTCCATTCCTCCACACTGCTAGCAACTTTGGGGTCAATTCTAAGTCCGTAGCTTGACGAATGTTTACAAAAGTGAGTGCGTGTGTGTAGACAGCACTCAGGTCAAGAAACAGAACCCGACCAGAAATTTGTCAAGTTCTCTCTGGTCACTACCCTCCATCTCCCAAGAAAAACCACTGTCTTGACTTCTAACAGAGCAATTGTATTTCTCTGAGTGTATATGCAGAGAATCACACAATATGTGATCTTTTCTGTCTGGCTTCCTTTGCTCAATATTATGTTTGTGAGACTGTTATATTTCTTGCACTTTTACATACTTGCTTTAAGTCTGTTCCTTTTTTCTAACAGGTTTTAGCTTCGTGGGAGAATTCAAGTAGCTTACTGAAAACTGCTAGGAATAATCACACGTTTTAGATTGAAACAGATGGCAGTCTGAAAGTGTTCCTTGTGTAAATTGAACCTAACAATTACTGATTACTTTATGGTCCTGTAGTTTAGAAATAGAACATCCTCACAGTGTAAGACTTTTTTTCTCCCTTTACTGGGGGAGAGAGTAGAGAGAGAGAGATAGGTCCATCTTCGATAGGGTCTCGCTGTGTTGCAATCCTCTTGCCTCGGATTCCCAATTAGCTAGAAGTATGGGCACATGAAGCTGCATCCATCGTGTTCAGGCTGGCTCAGAAATCAAACCTTTCACCCCTGTGAGGCTTCCAGCCTCCCAAGTGGTGGCATTACCTGTGCACCACCGTGGCTAGACCAAAGGACCTTTATGTTTTATCCAAATAAAAAGGCTGTGACTAGCATGTTTGGATTTTTACAAATTAAACCCCATAGGGGACTCTATTAACCAACCACAACCAGCAAGCCCTTTTGCATGAAGTATAACAATTGGAAGAGCCAGAGTATGATGACCTCTGTGCATTTGTCTCATCCAAGTAAAATTCACACTATACACACCAGTGTGTTTTATACTCCAGGAAGGAGAGATTTATTTCATCGTACTAATACAGAAATTAGTTTCAGGGCTTATGGTTTTTATGTTCTCTGCCTACAATATACTGTACTTCCAATCTGTCAAATTCAAACTAAGGGCTGAGAATCTTGCTTCAACTGCAGAGACCATACCTGAGTATTTTACACCCTTTAAGTTAGGGATTATTAACCTGAGGTCCATGGACAGGCTTTGGAGGAAGGCCCCCCGAAATCTTCAAATACCTAAGTTGCATCAGACGATGCTTCCTTAAATAGCAATGTACAGTAACAAATGATTCATATCAGTCTGAGATGATTTGGTTGGCCTTGTTGCTTATTTGACAGCATGTCTTTTTTTCTTTTCCTTTTTAGAGAGAGATTTTTCACTATAGGGCACGTATGTTTGCCAGAGAGACAGAGAGAGACAGAGAGATAGAAAGCAAGAAATCACCCCCCACGGAGGATGGCCACGCCACAATCCCTTCTCTTTTACTCTCCTAGGATTTTGGGCACGCACGCACACTCGCCCGTTGTGTTTTAAGCTGCTGGGTTTGGGATTTGAACTGCGGCCAACCACCTGGCTGTCAAGTGATGTAACCATTGCACCATCTGCTGGTTCCTGACAGCATTTCTAAGAAACATTATTAATAGACTCCAGATTAACCTTTGAAATTTCATAAAACAACTCCCAGATCCCAGAGTGGTGACAGACATTTGGCTAATAAGTAAGAATAAGTACTTGCCAGCAGGTATGGGGAGACTTTCGTTCCAAGATATACTGTGTCAAGGGTGAAGGTTCAAGTTCATATTTGTCGAAGGGAAGTTTGTCTATTACCATGGGCTCACAATCTACACAGGAAAACCTCACAACAGGATGAGATGTTCGTGGAGGCTATAAAAAAAGGAGAGGAAAATATAGTCAGGTATCAAGCAGGCTTACATATCTGGCAAGTCTTCAAATCCTTGTCTACTTTGTTAAACCATCACTGAGATCCATCCTGTGTTTTGAGAGAGGGTTATTAGATCTCTAGGAATCACAGTGGCTTCCAGGGGCGAGGAGTCCTCAGATTCTCTATCGGCATCATCTACTTGGCATTAGGAAGAGAAAAAGTGAATACAACACTCATGACTAGAACTTCAGTCAAGTTAAAAAAAAAACCCAAACAGAGACCAAAAAAGCCTGCTTTGAGTATGTTTCAGAAGTTTTATGAGCCACAGATGAACCCTGCCTTTTGAATCCACTCTGCAATCTCCAGCCCTTGCCTGCCCTTCATTCCTTTGTCCATGAGGTCACAGACAGTACAAATACTGCTGGGGAAGAACTCCATGAAACCTTCTAACGAGGTAATGGCAGAGCTCCAGTCCGTAACGACCAAGTTGAACAACAGTAAAGCATGGAAAGGGCAGGACAGTGGCTAACTGTGGAAGTGCAGTGGTTAGTACAACACTGCATTACTGACCCCACGTGGGAAGGTGCCACATCCGTGTCCTGGGTTCGCATCCCGGGGTCTCTTTATGGACACTGCGAGAAGGCCTGCATGCCTCTGATCCAGGCTGACTGAGGCTAAGGGTGAATCAAGGCAGGATGACCCTGTTGGGGTGCCCTTTTCTTTCTCTTTCTCACTCTTGGTTTGGTTTTGTTTGTTTGTTTTTTTGTTTTGCATACAGTACAGGTGCTCTCCAGAGACAGAGAGAGGAAAAGTGAGTCATCAACCCCCGAGGGAGATGGCCACACCACAGTCCCTTCTCCTTCATTCTCCTCCTGGGATTTTGGGCACACATACCTGGTGTGATTTTCTTTTCTTTCTTTCTTTTTTTTTTTTGAGAGATGTTTGCAAGTATTTACTGGAGTGACAGAGAGTGAGAGAAAGAGAGAGAGAGAGTGAGAGAGAAAGAGAGCAACAGAAAGCAAGGAAAGGGTAATTTCTCCTGGGGGAATAGCCATGCCACAATCCCTTCTCCTCCATTCTCCTCTCAGGATTTTGGACACACATGCACACATGCCCAGCGTGAGTTTTAAGACACCGGGTCTGGATCTTGAACCCCAATAAACTACATGGGAGTCCAGTGATGTAACCATTCCGCCATCTTTTAGTCTCAATAAACTTTTTTTTTTTTTAAAGAGATTTTTGCTATAGGGAGCATGTACTCACTGGAGTGGCTGAGAGAGACAGAAAGTGAGAAATCACCTCCCAGGGGTGATGGCCACACCTCAATCCCTTCTCTTCCAGTCTCTTATCAGGGTCCTGGGCATGCACGCACATGCTCTGGGCATGAGTTTTAAGTTGCTAGGTCAGGGACTCGAACTACAGTTGACTATGTGGGAGTCCAGTGATGTAACCATTCCGCCATCTGCTAGTCTCAATAAACTTTTTTTTTTTTAAAAAAAAAAGATAAGATAGATACTGATAATGAGCCAGTCACAGCTCCATAGCTAAACTAGATTACTTTCATTTTGTTTAAAGAATTATTTAATTTTATTTATTATTATTATTTTTAAATTTTGCCAGAGAGAGAGCGAGGGAAAGTGATGTGGGAATCCAGTGCCTTAATCACTACACCACCTGCCAGTTGCAATTACTTTTATTTTTATTCTTATTTTTATTTTAATAATTGTTTAAACATTAGCTCCTACACTATATCACCTGTGTTTTATTTTTCAAATTAATTTCAAGATTTTTAAAAAATAATTATTTTAATTAATTAATTTATAATTTGACCGGGGGGGGGGGAGAGAGCAGAGGGGGAAAAAAAAAGGGAGTGAGAAAGCAAGCCACCAGGTCTGGGACTTGAACCACGGTCACCCATGGGGAGTCCAGTATCCTTAACCACCATACAACCTGCCAGCCCCAAGATGGATTATTTTTAGAAGATTTATTTATTTCACAAATGAGAGAGACAGGGTGAGACAGAAAGAGATATTCACCAGCAACAGAATCCTGATGCCAAGATCTACCTTCAGGCTCAGCCTGGATCACGGGCACACACATGCCCAGTGTACTCAGGGAGGTCTCCAGATGTAAAACAGGAACTCTGCCAAGTGAGTCAGCCTCATAGTGCACTGTGCTTTACTGCTGTCTGGCTATCTGCACCACCACCACCGTGGCCCCACCAAGATGGATCTTTGCAGTGTTGGTCACACCCACATGCTTGTCTTGATTAGCTGGAGCTGGGGATGCTATTGGCTAGACTGCAAAGGCCTGTGTGCCTGAGGTACCAGAGCAGATTAATGGTGAAGTCATTTTATTAACAGAGGTTGTTCATGTGACTAGCAAAGACCAGAGAGAGCAAGTGAAACAGCAAGAACCACGTGGAGAGACGGAGAGAGAAGACAAGTCACAAGGTCAGGAGTGAGAAGTGGGTTAGCCTATTCTTGCTGAGAGACCTCTAAGACCAATATGACTATATAAATGACCTCTGTTCCTTTATAAAAGGGAAAAACGCCCTCATTTGCCTTTATAATTTACAAACCTACCAGACGTTTGAGGGTTGAGGACCAGCAGCCCTCAAATGAGCTTTGAAAGACTGAGGAATAGTAACACAAGCTACATATTGGTTACTTGGGATTTCTTTTATTCTAGTTTTTCCTGGTTTCAGTTTTAATTAACCTTGAGAAATAGTCCTGACTTCTTAGATTTGAACATGTGAAAAAGCAATACAGCCAAAAGTGAAACCCCATCACTAGCGATAATGAAGTAAATCTGCCACAAAAGCATTTACACTGGGGTTGAAGAAGCTGAGATTTGACAGATGTGCCACCTTGGAGCTCCAAGGGGAGGAGGGGGATATTCACTTTCATCCACAGCAGGGGCTGAAAAGGCTCTTTAGTGTTACACTCAGGGCCACTCTTGAAAAAAATGCAGCAGCCTAAAAATGGTAATCCAGGAGAAAATGCAGTTTCCTGTCAGAAATTTCATTTTTTTAAAGAATTATTTTTTATTTTAACTTGATTTATTTTAATTTGACCAGAGAGGGACAGAGTGAGAGAGAATGAAGTGAGAGAGAGAGAGAGAAAGTGAGAAAGCAAGCTGCCAGTTCTGGGACTCGAACTGTGATTGGCCATGTGAGAGTCCAGCACTCTTAACCACCACACCACCTGCCAGCCCCTGCTGTCAGAAATTTCTACAATTTAGGCAAAATATAGATTAGCTGGACCAGGACAGAGATTAACTAGAGGAGTAGTGATCTGTTTGTGCCCAACCCCAGCCCTAGCCACACAAGAGAGATTATTACACCTCCTTACATTGGTGGTTGCTGGGGGGGAGGAAAGAGAGTGGGTTTCATACTGTCTCACAATCACTGCTTCCTAAAAAACAAACAAACAAATCTACAATCCTTCTGGTATTAGAAGCAACTAAAATTTAAAACCCTCTTCTCCCAAATGCAGAGACCAAAAAGAGAAAAGCCTTTGCTCAGAGATCATTTTTAAAACACTGCTTAAGTATCCATCATCAAAAGGTGTTTTGCTATGGAACGGAAGTTCATTGATTACAGAAAGATGACAAGTAGGTTCACCAAGTTCCATTAGGTTTCTACTGACTCCCTAGGATGCTTCTGAATATATTTTGAATATGTTAGTAGAATCCGTCCACTGTGGAAACCCAGTTCAAATTTCCTGAGGCTGCCTGTGCATGAAAATCAATGTCACTGCATTTTAGACATTGTGTTTACCACACAACTCAAGCCACTCAACTCTGAAAATAAAAACCAGTTGCAGACTCAAACATAGTAATGCGTTAACATTCAAAGAAGGCGGTTCACGTGGCAAAGACAACTGAAAAAAAAAAAAAAAAAAACAAGAATGAAAAGTACCAGAAAATCAAGGAAGCCCTCCCTTGCTTTGGGGCATAAGTTAGACTTCCAGCAAGACAGAGAGGTAAAGGAGGGAAGACTTACTTGCTTTTGGCATGGCTTAAAAGCCTCAAAAGTCTCTTCACAGGTTCACTGTAATAGGAAATTGAAAATGCAGAAAGATGTTTACCTTTCTGTCTTATGACACTTACTAGTGAAGGTAAATTTTGATCTGGCCAAAAAGATTCTGGAATTGGCCAGTGTCCAACAGGAACACCAGTTTTAGAGTTAGGTCGTACATAAATGAGTTTATGACAATTATGCCACGGTTGAGCAGCGAATGAATTGCTTGACCTAGATGAATCCATGAGTCCATCTAAAAGTGAAACAAAAGACAAACTAAGTCATGAATTTCTTTTAGCAGCTATTGATCTTCTTGTATAAAGTTTTCAGGTAAAAAAGCAAAATACAAAATAACGCAAAGACAAAGATACAGAAAAATGAAAGGACAAAAATTGACTCTTAGTTTTACTAAATGTTCTCTTTAACAACTCTTTTCATCGAATTTGACACCTCCCAATAACCTTAACCTACTCTGAGAATATGTAGTCATGCAGAAAACTACTGTGAAACTAGCTTTAAATTTTCTGAGACGAAATAAATGAAACGCCAAACACCGCAGCTGCTTTTCAAGAATTCAATGACCAAATTAGTCAAATGAAATCATTCATTCCTCAGTATCGTTTTCGTTTTTGGAATCTGATGAAAAGATCATAAATTCCATTTATATATTATTTCTATTTGTGATTAGATGAAGAAAGTATTTTCTACTGGAGAACTAGACCCATGGCCACAAAGGCAAAGTAGAAGTACAAATTCACTTAAAAGTAGAAAGAAGCTGACAACACAGTCGATGTATAGTGAGGCGGGGAGAGCAAATGCTTCAGCTATTGCTAATTCACTCTAATTTCTCCACCCATCATTAAAAGTCCAGGGAAGGGGCCAGCAGGTGGCACAGCAGTTACGGCACTGTACTCTTACATGACTGACCAAATTCAAGTCCTGGACCTGGTGGCTTGAAACTCACACTAGGTGCGTGTGTATGCATGCCCAAAATCCTGAGAGGAGAATGGAGGGGATGGGACTGTGGCATGGCCATCCCCCCTGGAGGGGTGATTTCTTGCTTTCTGTCTCTTTGCCTCTCCAGTGAGTACACTCACCCTAGCAAAAACCTCTGCCAAAAAAAAAAAACCAAAAAAAAAAACTCCATGGAAACTGGTTATTGTATAATGCTAAATAATGCATCCTGAATTCATTTGAATTATTTAAACTACTATATATCACTTGCCTCCTCTCTCTCAAAGAAAAAAATAGGGCAAGGCAGTGATAGGTAACCTGCTTCGGAATGATGCATTAAATTATATGAGGGTACTTAAAAAGTTAAGGGGGGGGGCCAGCAGGTGGCATGGTGGTTAAGACAGCTGGATCCCACATGGTTGATTCCCCAGTTCAAGTCCTGGACTCGGTGGCTTGAAAATTACACTAGGTACATGTGCATGTGTGCACAAAATCCCAGGACGAGAACTGAGAAGAAGAGACTGTGGTGTGGGCATCTACTGTGGGTGGTGATTCTTCGCTTCTCCTCTTTCTTTGTGTCTCTCAGCAAGTGCACACTCCCTCCTATGGCAAAAAAAAAAAAAAAATTAAAAAGTTAGAGGGAAAATGAAATTAAAATACAAGCTTATTTTGGTGTAGAAAATTTTGACTCATGAATAGTTTTTCTTCCTAAATAGATTGCCTATGAGCTTTTTGAAGATCTCTTATATTTGTAAAAGATAAGCTTTAATGATTTGAGTCTCACTTTTAACTGGCAGGTCATTTGATTTACTTATTTAAGCATCCTTTAAAATAAATACAGTAATTACATTAAACCAGGAAGTTTACTGTGATCCATTGAGCTCTAGGGAAAAACCTGGCTTCAGAGGACCCCTCTACAGAAGTCAAACTCACAATTCTGGGAATGTGCATTTTTCAGAGGAAAGCGTTCTTAACTTCTATGAAAATCTGAAAGGTTAAGAACTGTGGACAAAGGAGAATTGGAGCTAGAATGAAATCCAAGTTGTTTACACAACTCCGAATCATAGTAACATTTTCACATGAAAGTTCCCAGCTCACACTGAGACAGTGATCCCAAAATCATGGACTGAGTGATCAACTGGTGACAACATTATATATGATGAATTAAAACAGGGTGTAAGGCCTAAATCATCTATGGGATGTATTCTAAACTTGGGAACTCCAGAAATCCCTAAAATTATATGTAAAATTGTGCATGTGTATTACCTACCATTTTTCTAGGGAAAGGGGTCTGAATTTTCCCAAAAGCTTCTCAAAGAGAAAGACAGAGAGAAAAAGGAATGGGAACCACAGGATCTACTGCTTCAGACAAAAATACGTAGCTTCCTGTACTGTGTACTGGGCCCCTTTGTTCCTGGCAAAGGCCATAAGAATGCATGGATCAGATCAGACAAGCACTGTGGAATAACAGAATCTATGTATACACATGTATAAATGAAGGGACTTCAAAAAGTTCATGGAAAAATGAATTAAAATACAAGTTTATTTTGTTGCGAAAATTTTTAGAATCCATGTATCACTTTCCCATGATACAGATTTTCCCCAAACTTTTTGAAGGCCCCTTCGGTGTGTGCAAACTAATAGAATGAGAAGCAATAATTTAGAATATAAATCTAAGGAAGTCTTGCAATGCATTTCCATGGTGCTCTTTAGCTCTCTGATCCCTTTGAAAATCACATGCATTCAAGTAGTTATAATCATCCCGTTACCAAGGATCTGGAGATTCACTACTATTTAATTCCCCCTACACCAAAGTAGATTTGCTTTTTATCTATTTTTAAAAATAATTATTTATTAAATTTAATTCATCACTATTATTATTTTTAAATTTGCTACAGGGCACATGCACTCACGAGAGAGGGAGAGAGAGAGAGAGAAAGTGAGAAAGCAAGCCAACAGATCCAGGACTCAAACTGGTCAACCATGTGGAGTCCAACACCACCATGCCACCTGCTGGCCCTGCTTATTATTTTTTTTAATCTATTTTTAGGTATTGAATTTTCTGTAAAATCTCATTGCAAGAGAAAAGATTCTGTAGTTAAGAAGTGACTGGCGGGACCAGCAGATGGCATGATGCTTATGTTGTTTGACTCCCACAAGATTAAAACTCAAGCTGGGCGTGTGTGCAGGTATGTCCAAAATTCCAAGGGGAGAATGGAAGAGAAGGGATAGCAGAGTGGCCAGGACCCCTGGGGATTGATTTCTCACTTTCTGTCTTTCTCTGTCTTTCTGATGAGTGCACACGTCCTATTACAAAAAAATCTCTTTCTCAGAAAAAAGGTGATTTTATAGGCTATTAGCATTTCCTAGATAAACATTCACAATCTCTTGCTGACATGTAGTAACTATCACAGATTTCACAAAGATAGCTAGCACATCTGGCATTCACAAAACCAAAACTAAATTAGGACTTAGGTGGCACCCCCATATTAAGTTCCCAGATATTTTGTGAATAGAGAGGTGAATGTGTTAGTTAGTGTAATCCCAAGACTGGGACCAGGAAACAAAAACTGGGCCAGGAACGGGGGAATTTTCTTAGGAACATCTGACATTAGGTGAAAGTGACTTGAATTTAGCCACCTGACAGACACACACAGGCAGTGAATGTATGGTAGTTGTTTGGATGGATGTTTGTAACTGCTCAAATGCATGCGGATAGTGAAGATTGTGCCCATTATTTGGTCACTATTTACTCAACTCAGATCATTCTCTTATATACCACTTTAGGGTGAAAAAGGTTTATCTACTGTACCTTCTCCAATAGGAAGTGGATCTGGTCCCGTCTTTTCAAAATTAATAACTACACCACTCTGAACTTTTTGAACTAGCGATTCTAAACATTGATTCAACATTCTTTGTGTTCTAACACAGTAGGAGCGACCTATACCAGAAAGAAAGACAAATAGCAAATGTTTGTTCAAATAAAGTACTGTTTTATACTATAAAGCGTTTGAAATGCTAAAATATAACTTGAAAAAATCAAAACTACATTGGCAGCAAATATTGTACCAATGATAAGCTTAAGTAGCGGAGTCAAAATATTTTGAAGGAAAACAAGTAAAGACTGGATATGACATTTAATGAAAACTGTATTCTGCTTCCCTGAATTCTCCCTTCAGAAAAATGAAATGTCGCCAATACCTCCTGTGACTTCACACATCTGTGTGATGGCCGATTCATCAGTTGGTACACTCCCTAGGTGCTCTGGTTCGGTAGAAGCCACGCCAGGCAAACGCAATACTAGAGCAAATAGCCTTTGATCCCAGCGAAAAGGTTCTTTGGTTAGTTCACTTCCAGGCAGAGGAGAATTCAAAGGAAGATGAAGCTGATAAGGCAAAATTTGAAAAGGTTTATCAGAACAACTTATTAAAAAAATGAAGAGTCGAAGGGTTCATTGTTCTTTCATCTGAGCTATTAACACCAAATCACAGCAAGACTTCCACATGAAAGTGGAAATTTGATTAAATGAAGCAATCTTTCAATACCGAGATGGAAGGTCTGACCAAACTTAATTCTTAACTCAAAATAGATGCCTCCCACAGAAAATAGCTGCGAGTTCTCTGCCATTTAAATGAAAGTCTTAAAAAATTAAATCTCACCTCTTCTTGCACACCAGCAGTACTTGTTAACTTGTTTCCAACTGTGATGGTAATTAAAATAGATGGTTCTAAAAAAAATGGATTTCTCCCCTAAAATACATTTAAAAAGCATTAGAGCCTTGTAAAGTAATACAAGGTTATTTAAACTTTTACAATGGTCTTGCCAATGATCTCGCAAGTATATGAAAAAACTTACTTGGATAAATAAGGAAGGGATTAGGAACTCCAATGGATGGGATTCAAAATAACAATCCCAGGAGAGGTAACATTTAGTATAAACTGAGGAATTTTTGTAATTCAGGAATCCCCAAACCTTAACATTCAAATCCCTCTCTCCCTCTGCTTTCTAGGTAATCATCAAACAGTAACATTACAATAGCAGAAACTGAAAAATTAGAAAGTACCATAGCAGGGAGGACAACTATGGATGCTACAGACAATGTGGTAGGTAATAGGGGCTGAGAGGGATGGGATCAGGGGAAAAAACAACACATTTAATAGGCAAAAAAAATGAGAAGTTATCTGCTGATGATAATGCATATGGTAATGTCCCTGACTTGACTAATATGCACTGTATTCATGCTGGGGAAAGCCATGTTGTACACTGTAAAGATGTACAGTGATTAAATCTTTTTAAAGAATTATTTTATTTATTCACTTATTTTAATTTAATGAGAGAGGGACAGAATGAGCAGGGGGGAGAGAGAGAGAGAAAGCAAGAAAGCAAGCCACCAGGTCTAGGACTCAAACCATGGTAGGCCATGTGGGAGTCTAGCACCCTTAACCACTATGCCACCTGCCAGCCCCAAATATTTTTAAAAATACACATATTCTATAAAAAAAATAATGACATTGAAAAGATTATAACAACCTATCATCTATACTCACAAACCCATTTGCCTAAGTCAAAATATCGTTACAGAGAGGGGACACTAGTGAATTATGTTCTGCAACTTGGACAGTGACTGTGGCTATGGTGGACAGCTTTTAGAAAGTAGGAATGGACAAAGGCGGCAGCAGCAGCAAATGTTGTTCTGCCTTCCTCTTATTCTAAAGCTTTTCCATCAGACTAAGGGAGGTAGGGCAGTTAAGGACACTGGAAGTTTCTCTCCCATTGTCTTGACCAATATATGTCAGTAATTGATACATCCCATTTTCAGACCTCTAATGAGCTAATGGTAGGTAATTTTCACTATTTTATAATTAAGTCACAAGAGTCCCCCCCCCAAAAAAAGAGGAATATTTAAAAATATTTATTTAAAATAAGTATCTTTAGAGGTTATGACAAGTAGCAAAAACTTGGTAAAAATGCCCAATTTTAAATTCTTACCCCAGGTCACCAAAATAAATTAGCTGTACTCACTCAAAATATTTTTTACCTGTCCATAATTGTCTATTCCAGATATTAATCTATTGAGATTTAACAAATCAAATGAGGATCTTAGAGCCTGACCAAGAGTAGTCAGTCCAGAAGCCTGAAGATTTTTTAGTTCGCTCATGAATGTTGCGTGATTTTCCTTCCAACCAGCCTGAAAATTAAACATAAACAAAGAAACTTCCAATTATACAATAACAATATATAATGTACAAACAGCCATTAAACAGTAAGTAGCAAACCCCTAACAAATAAATTGTTTCTTACCCTAATTTTATTCTATATCTTGACTGATGAAGTGGAACTAAAGCAAGCAATCCATTTCCGAAATATCTGCCAACTTTAATGATCAAGGGCAAAGAACTCGAGCAAAATAATATGGCCAGAGGGCTAGTTTCCTATTCAGGCTCAAACAAACCCACCAAAATACCTCAGATACATTAGCTGGACACTGAACTGAGGATGAGCATGGAGTAAGGAAGAGAGGAAAGGATCATCCTTGGACAAGGATGAATGCATTGTCCTTGATAGAGACAAACAACTAGCTACTGAGTGTCTGATCCATATGAATTTTGCTAACCAAGGTTCTTTCTCTTAAGCATTATTTTCCTTTTTTTTTCTTTTTTAGGTTTTTGCCTCAGGGCATGTGCACTTGCTTGGGAGAGACAGAAAGAGATAGAGAGAGGGAAAGTGAAAAATCACCCCTCAGAGGAGATAGCCACTCAGCAATCCCTTCTCCTCCATTCTCCTCTTGGAATTTTGGGCATACGCACATGTGCTTAGCATAACACCTTAACCACCACACCACCTGCTGGCCCCTATTCCCCCCCTCTTTTAAAGAATTATTTTATTTAACTTTATTTATTTATTTATTATAATTTGATGGGGGGGGGAGAAAAGGAAAGTAAGAAAGTAAGCTGCCAGGTCCAAGACTTGAACTGCGGTCGTCCATGTGGGAGTCCAGAGCCCTTAACCACCATGCCACCTGCCAGATCCCCTATTTTCCCTTTCAGAGAGTAAAAATGATAGAAATAGAATCACACTTATTTGGAAATAACCCTTCTGGCAGTTTCATGCATTCATAAAGCTGTAAATCTAGAATAAGGAGAAACAGACAAGAAACAAAATTTTGGGCAACGAAGCAGGATCCCCCAGGCCATAGCAGTAAAGAACCAAAGACCCAAGGTCAACAGCCAACCTGCTGTGGATTGACTGGTTTGTAGAACAGAATAGTTTGCAGAACAGAAGAAGGAAAGAATCACACTGACTTGCCAGTGATAACTATAAAACAAAGCAGCCAGGGGTGCCAGCAGGTGGCATGGTGGTTGAGACACTGGACTCCCATGTGGTCAATCACAGTTTGAGTTCCAGACCCAGTGGCTTGAAACTCACACTGGGAGTGCGTGTGTGTCTGTGAAGAGAAGGGAATGCAGTGTGGTCATCTCCCCTGCTGTGGGATGATATCTAGCTTTCTGTTTCTCTATCTCTTTCTGTCTCTCTAGTGAGCACATGCACCCTATAGCAAACATCTCTCTCAGATAATAATAATAATAGATATCATTTGAAAAAGAAAAAAATTAATAAAATTTGTTACTGATATTAAGAAAAGGAAAAAAAAAGAGATGGAAGCCAAGAGTAGGTCACAGACAATTGAGCAAGCAAGGGAGAGAGTAGGTAGCACAGCTTGGCAACATGGTGATACCAGTAGCTACTTGAGCCTCGGAAAGCTTGAGGGCAGTGGTGTGATATGCTAAATGCTGAAGTCATGCCCACTAGGCCAGTACAGCTGAAGGTGGAAAGCAAGTACGATAACATAGAGATAAATTATTTAGACCCCATGTTGAGCTGAAGACGTACTATGATCCATACAACTACAGCAAACACTCCTTTATGGTTTCATGATCTCCCAAAGCAATCTGGATTAGTAGAATGACTGACAGGCAGAAGAGGACAAGTTATTGTCTTTAGACCCTGCCATGAAATATCTGTGTGACCTCGAGCAAACCTGTTGGCTCTTAGGACCTGTTTTCTTATTTGAAAAGAAGGATTAGATAAGCTGTGGCACTGTGCAAGGCTGCAAATGTTATACCTCCCTGGGGAAGTGTTAGTCACATGTACTCTATGAGAATGGCACCCTCAATCATACAAAGTGAAGGTGTCCTGTTTAAGAGTCATTGTAGGCCCTATAGTCTGGGATTCTATGACATTAAAGACATGCTCAGTTTGTTTTTTGTTTTTTTTTGTTTGTTTGTTTTTGTTTTTGTTTTTTTTTTTAGTTTTTGTTTGTTTGTTTTGCTTTTGGGTGTATATGCTCACTGGAGAGACAGAGAGATAGAAACTGAGAAGTCACCCCCAAGAGGAGATTAGTCACATCACAATCCCTTTTCCACTCTCCTCTTGGGATTCACACACACACATGCGCCTAGTGTAAGTTTCATGTCACTAGGTCTGAGACTTGAACTGCAGTTGACCATGTGGGACCCCAGTGCCCCAATCACCATCCTACCTGCTGACCCCTGTTGTTTTTTTGTTTTATATTCCCGACATATCCCATAGGTAAGAGGACCTCAAGGCAAAAATTTTCCATGTGTTCCTTTGGCCAACTGTATATGTGAGTTTTAGTAGCTGGGAAATTTCTTAGGGATGAAAATAATTCCTTATGGTCTAAGGAAGATCTTATTTGACTGGATAAACTAAACTTTAATAGAAAGGGAGGGGGACCAACAAAATGGCGTAATGGTTACGTCACTGGAATCCCACATGGTTGACTGCATTTGAGTCCCGGCAGCCTAAAACTCACAATGTACGTGCCCAAAATCTCAAGAGGAGAATGGAGGAGAAAGGATTGTGGTATGGCCGCCCCTTTGGGGGGTGATTTCTCGCTTTCTGTCTCTCCGGTGAGTGCACACACCCTATAGCAAAAATCTCTCTTACAAAAAAATAAAATAAAACACAGGGAGGATTATGATTTAAAGTCTCTTGTCAAATACAGATGCTCCTTGGCTTGAATTATGTCTCAGTAAACCAAAGGCACAGTTAAGAAATTATAAGTTGAACCATCCTGCGTCTAAGACTGCCTGCACTTAGAACTATGAACAGATGATTTATTTATTTATTTGGGAGGGGAGAAGTTTTTGCTATAGGGTGTGTGTGCTCGCTGGGAAGACAGAGAGAGACAGAGAGACAGAAAGCGAGAAATCACCCCCCAGGGAGGATGGCCACACTGCAATCCCTTCTCTATTCTCTTCTTGGGATCTTGGGCATGCATGCACATGCACCCGATGTGAGTTTAAGCCACCGGGTCCGGGACTCAAACCACAGTTGACTACAAGGGAGTCTGGCGACATAGCCATTAAGCTAACTGCTGGTCCCTGAGCAGATAATTTTAAGTCACACTGAGTTTGGAATTTAGATTTCTTCTTCTGGGTAGAAAAGAAAGGTATACAGTTGGGGGAAGGATAGCATCAATTCTTTTCTTTATTCAACATATTTTTACTGGCCAACTCTGCTATATTGGGCAGAATGCTACATGGTGAAGATACAGAGAGAAATTCCACAAAGGAATAAGTAATGTGCTTATGGAGACTGCAAAAACAAATAACACAGAGCGAGCGAAGGTTTCTCAAATACGATGGGGTAGTTGAGGAAGCCTGATGAGATAAAGAGGAATCATGAGACTCACCGGTGCAAGAAGTGACGGGGACAGTCCAAGGGAAGAGAACAGAGTTCTTAAAAGGATAGGACCTCCTGGAGAACCATGAATAACCTGATTATCATTTCTCTGTGTACATGGCAGGAGGCAAGGCTGATATGATCATCTGGCCTCTGACTATAAAGCGTTTTGTACACTATGCTCAGTAGTTTGGATTATATCTGTTGGCCCTGGGAAGAACTCAAGGTTTTTAATTAGGGGAGTGACATGATCAGATCTATGTTTGAGCAAGATCATTCTACTAGTAGTTGGAGAATAAATTGCGGGGTGGAGGGGAGACTGAAGCTCGAGGCAGGGAAACTGGTTTGGAGACTGTTGCAATAGTTTATGAGAAAAGTGATGAAAGCCTGAGCTAGGGCAGCAGGCACGGAGAGGAGGTTGTAGATTAGAGAAGTATTTCAGAGGTGGAGTCACGAGGATTTAGTAGCTAATTAGAGGGACAGGCGAGGGAGAAAGGGTCATGGATTAGGTCGAGGTTAATAGTTTAGGCAGACTTGGGGATGGTGAGATCCTTCAGTCAGAAGTCACTTTACAAAGTTGACTTTTTTTGAGGGGAGGTACTTCATTTAGCAATCTTACTTACATTAAAAACTTATGGTTATATTTGCATTAAGTGTTGGACTCCCGAAGGGCCACATGATAGTTCAAGGTATGAATAAAGGCAAATTAGTAGGCTATTTGATTTGGTAAAGAGCTGGGATAACTCATCAGTATTTAAAATAGTGTGTCCTGATTGTTTAATAGACTTACTCATCAATCTGTCAGAATAATTACTCCTTTAAATTTTCCTTTATAATGACTGAAAGCATTTTTTTTAGAGAGAATTTTGCTATAGGGTATATGTGCTTGCCAGAAAAACCGAAAGCAAGAAATCACTCCCTGGGGTTTGGGGTACACATGCACATGCACCCGGCAAGAGTTTCAAGCCATCAGGTTCAGGATTCAAACCAAGGTCAGCCATGTGGGAGTCCAGTGCCTTAACCACTATGCAACCAGCTAGCTCCCAGATGGAAAGCATTTTACAAATAGCTTCTACATCTGAATCCATGACATTTTATTTTTATGTCAATTCTGATTCTAGGCAATGATTTGCACAATACAGTAATATTTCTTAAAGCTGTTTAAAAAAAGTTTACTTCTTCTATGAGCAAGTGTGTATGCATGCACACGAGAGAGATGAGACAGTCACCCCCAGCAGGATCTTGAGGCCATAATTCATGCCCAGCTTCAGCAAGCCCAGAATCATGGGTATGTGCACACCTGGCATATTCAGGCGGTCTGCAGATGCAAACCCAGAATCTCCCCAGGTGGGCCAGCCTCGCAGAGTGCTGTGTTACCAACTATACCATCATCCAGCCCCCAATACCAGAACTTTTTAAAATAATTACTTATTTACTTTTTATTTATTCATTTATTTATTTTAATTTGACCAGAGAGAG